GAAGAATCGAATTTGGTGTTAACTATACGGTTTCTTAACCAAACTCTAAAAATGTCTTCTGGAATACACAATTCTACAAGAGGGAAAAGAATAGCTGAATATGTATTGGATGTTAAGCCTATGGACTCATTTGCTCTTAGATGTGATTCTAATTTATCATATAATTTCAATGTGTCTAATTTTCTTTTTTCTTTGGTAACATTTTTTACAACAAGATTTAAAAGTTCACATATATAAAATTCAATTAGTAACTCCTTGCCAAATCTTGATTTTAAACATGCAATAGCTTTATCATAATTTTCACATGTTGGTGGGTAACTATAGACAATATTGCGGGCTCTAGAGCCTTCAGTCATACATTGAATTAAATATTGAAATTTATCTTCTTCTGCAATATTTTCTTCGTCATGCATTCTTTTGAATTGGCTACAAAAGGAAAGCCAATCTTTGATTTCACCGTAAAATTTCAAAAGTTTGATCTCCAGTAACTTAAACTTACATTTTTGAACGGGCGAAGAATCAAAAGAACTTTCCGTTGTAGAAAATCTATTTAAATACATTTTTATGTTTACTTCCCCTTTACGAAATTTTCATTATATCTTCTTTTATCGCGTACTTGTTCGATACTTTTATTACCATTATCTTCTAATATCAGAGCTTATTTCCGTCTATTCAGTTAGCTGACAATAAATCTCGTAATTAGCAAAGTTAGATCTAATGCTCTCTTCTTTAACATTATCTGCCTTTAATAAAATTCAAACCATTAAAACACATTGTGAAGTTAGCTCTTATAGGAGAGCGTTTTTTAAAAAGCAATTCCATTTTCAGAATAATAGGTAATTCAAAATAACATACCTTTAATATCGCATCCGGGTCACTATGTTACGAAACTCTACCTGAATTTTGTTCATTCAGTCGATACTCCATTAAAAGAAAAGAGAAATTTATAATTAAGTAATATGGGCAATCCACCCAATTAATTCACTATAAACAAAATCATGGTGCATTTTTTTTTATTCCAAAACAGAAAAAAGATACAATGTTGCCAAACCGTAAAATTTAACCTTTTAAGAAATTACATTTATACAACTGCTGAGTTGCTCGCGACACATGCCTTTTGATTCATTTTACTGAGAAGTGCTTTTCTTCTGGCTATTCTGCCATAAAAGTTACATTTTCTTAACATATTTCTAACAATTTATGCATTATTAGACTTGCTAAATATATGTTGTGCTTCTGAAAGTAATTTGAATGCACTGGTTTCAGGATTATAAGTAACATTTCTAATTATCAACTTTTTTTCACATTCAGCAAATCTGCTTGGATGCATTGTTTAAGGTTCTGACATAAAAGTTAAATTTTCTTAACATATTTCTGCATTACTAGACTTGCTGATATTTCTGAAAAGAATTTGAATGCACTGGTTTTAAGATTATAAGTAATATTTCTAATGATCCATTTTTGGGGGAATGCCTTGTTTGTGATTTGTTTTCAAACAAATTTTATGTTACGGTATTTCCAAATTATATTAAAATTTATCTAAAATTTAATACTAAATTTTATCTAAAATTATCTAAAATTTAATACTTCAGCTTTATCTAAAATTTAATTTATCTAAAATAAATTTATCTAAAATTTAATACTTTTTTCTAAAATTTAATACTTCAGCTATTTTCTTCTCAAATTCTTCCCAATTTCCAAAATTTAAAATTTGTTCATATCAAAAGAAATCCAAGAGTTTTTTCAACGCGTATTAAAAAAGTAGTTTCTCAACTTCAGACAAGTTATTTAAAATATCCTATTTATTTATAAGTGTTATTGAAAATTATTCTTTATAACAGATTTAGCATAGACAAAGAAAACAATATTATTTAGTTTTGGAAAAAACAGCTGAACTTTTATTGTTAAATATTTTTTAAGATAGTTTCCTATGCAGCAGTACTTTTTTTTAGTCCCTCTATTCTTAATGCTTTACACATGTGCAGTAGACACTTTTTCTTAATAAAGTATATGGAAAGTCTTGATTCTTAATTTCACTTTGAGACTAAATAAAAAAACCTTCATATTGAAGAAAACAATCATCTATTAGCATAAATCAATGTGCTCAATAATTTGGCTCCATTGCCACCCTTTTATTTGGCATACATCTCAAACTGAACCATTCTTCTAAAGTTTATCACTGATTTTACACCTACTGAATAACTTATAAACCTGATGATAACCTGCCAAATCCTTTTTTATTATTTTCTACTTTAATTACAACATGACTATCAACTCATGGCAGCTTGAGAAATGATTTATGCAGCAATGTATATATATACAGTCAAAAGTCGTTAATTCGGACACCCATAATCCGGAATGATCTATAATCCGGACCTCAAAGCTACAACCTTTCTGCGCATGCGTCTGGTTGACGCATGCGCGTAAGACCTTTACCGCTGCGAATTTGCGTGTGCGCGTGTGCAAAATACGTTTATGAATGCGCGTTTAATGTATAACGGATGGGATAAGCTAAGCTAAAATTATCTAATTATCTATTTCAGTTAATGTTGCAGATTGCGTTGTTCCTTAATCTTCGAATTGGATCCGGATTATTATTTTTGCAGACTGTTTAGAGCAGTTTTATAAAAGTAAGCTTGAACTTTCGATTATCAAATAGAATTTTGGATATATATTTACTAATATGTAAAGGATATACAAAGCGAAAGTATCTTTTCGGAGCCCCTACACAAAAAGTGGAATTGCTGCAAAAATGGATAAAGGCATATATTTTGTTTATCTAAACTTTAACGCTTGTTTATCTAAACTTTAACGTTTGTTTATCTTTAACGCGGTGGCGGCGGCTTGCAATGAATTCACTATCCTTATCTTAAGGGCAGATGTTTTTATTTTATTTGGCTTATAATTGCTTACTCAATGTAGTATTTCATCTCGATGTACTCCATCTTTGATATGATTTAAATCAAATGCCTCGTCATTATAATTCGCTTCCGATAGCGAAGAAAGTGACAGAGGTTATTGAAAAACGAAAAAATTTCGATTGACAATTAGTCGGTATTCTCGACACAGCACTTATAGGACGTGAACAGCGGAACTTGTAACTGAACAAGAAATTATGTCTGTTTATAGAATTAAAGAGAATGTATTATCACATAAAAACGAATCAACTCAAACAACTTACATTGAAAGAAAGTTTAATAAAGTAAACAAATAAATATTAAGCTTTTTTTTTTGTAAATTTTGATACCCTTAGATCATAATGTTCTTTATTTCGTAAATTACGGTTTTATATTTTTATTTTATATTTCTGCATGCCATTTTACCATATTTAAACTGATGATCTATATCCGGAATCGCCGAAGTCCCGACGAGTCCGGATTAACGACTTCTGACTGTACTCTCTCTCTCTCTCTATATATATGAATATATATACTGTCTATTAAACAATGTTATTAAAATATATCTATGTATATATATATTAGTAACTGATTACAAATGATATCATGATTTGGAGACAATTACAGACTTCAGCCAACTGCATTGTGAAGTGATGAGTGCATTGATGATGAGAAATTTCTTTCCATATGCAAAAAACAGATTTTGTAAATGATATTCATAAGCCAAAAGATTACATTAGCTGCTGTTTGAAGCAATTTCATTTAGATTTACATAACCTGAAATGTTTTTTTAAGTCATGACATTTATTAAGATTAAATAGACTGAACACCATGTCACTGCTTATAAATATATAAAATATATCCAATTTAAAATAATATAATATATATATATATATATATGTATGTATGTAAGATAAAAAAAATATGAAAGCAAACTTCTAAATTTATTTTGCTATAACCTCTTTTATTTAATTTGGGGACTTCATCTCTCTGTCTTAGAAATAGCACCGTAAGTCTAAACTGCATCATTCAAAGTAATCATGCAGTCTTACATAACGCTTAATGCAGATGTCTCTAGCCCAATCAAAATAATTGCAAACCAAAACTAACTCGAACTGAAAATTTCGACTCCCTCCCCTCATCTTCTGCATTACTACTTTGACATTCTTCCCTTTCCCCTTGTGCTTTCTTCATACCCAGACACTTTGCTGCAATGATCGCTTATATTACAATAGCATACAAATTGCTCTGGAAATAGGCATGACTGGAGTGCCAAGTGAATTGTGGCCACAAAAGTGAATTTAAATTAATATGGAATTTAATCTGTCTCGACGGTCCTCTTCAATATGGATGTATGATCATCCTTTATAACTATTACGCATCGACACTGTTCCATCTTTTCCTCGCATTTATTTCACAAACATACACACACACGCACAAAACCTTTGTTAAATATAAATACTGCCTTCAATACATGATAAACAAATATATCAATGGTTCTCAACCTGTTTTTGCTTCAGCACCCCTTTCATCATCGTTAGAATCCCCCCTTTTAATAAAAACCTAAAGAAACATCTACTTAGATTATTTTTTTTAAAGCCACAGCAGGAAAGAGGTGGAGTCAAGCTGATCACATTCCCCTCCTGGTTCAGAACTTGATATATAAATTCAAAAATAGTTTAAAGAGTGTCTAAGTATAAGCATTTTTTCTTAATCAAAACACTTTTTAAAAGCAGTTTTCTTTCATTTGCCTATTTTTAAAATTAAATTTTGTGTAAATTTTCACAAAGTTATAACTGCTTTACATAATGAAAATATATATACATATTTTGTTAAAGTATTCATTTCTTCAGTGTCAGAATTTTAACATTTACAAAAGCTGTTGATCAATTTATGATTTTCCTAAATACGAGTTTAAGTTTTAACATATATGCAAATGTAAATTTCACATAATGAATTCAAAAAAGTTAAAATGAAACTGATTTAGTCATAGAATAACTAATACATTGTTAGCAAAGTTTTAGAACACTCACAATCAAATTCAATAGATATCAAATGAATATCAATACAACATATGAGAAAAGAATTTAAACAAATAATTACTTCTTCCATCATCTCCCATAATCTACCAGGGGTAGCAACAATTATATCTGGACTTTTTTTTAATATTCTCCTTTGTTTTTCAGGAGCCAATCCACCAACTACAGATGCTACCTTACAAATAAAGAAGAAAACATATATGGAAGATGTTCAAATAAGATGGTTATAGGCTTTATTTCCTTAAATATTAATCTTAGCTACATAATATCTACCTACCTACCAGCCAGAGTCAAAAAAAAAAAAAAAAAAAAAAAAACGCATGCACGCACACACATATAAAAGAAAAAAGGAAAAAAGAGAAGGGGGATCTTTTATATTATTTGTGCAAAGTAAAATGTTGTTACAGTATAAAGCATTTTATATTAATTAACCAATTTTGATGATTTAAACCTATATTATAACTTCTCCTTTTTCCACACAAGTATTTGAGTCGTGAGTTTGAAGGTTTTAGATATAGACAATACTCACTGCAGTTTATGTTCTATCACCCAACTCTGACAATGAATATTCTGGCTTTAACCATTCTGTTAGCTGATGTTAATGATGTCCTATCAAAATACTCAGCCTGGGCAAATTTGCATAGTTTCTGACTACAATACCTTAAATTTTCAACTCTGTTTTTTAAAATACCTGCATGTGGTGGTAATTTACTTTTATGCAGAAGTTTTACTTTCTGTTCATTTTAAGTTTGAATATAAAAAGGTTATTTAAACATAATTAGGACTTTGTAATAATATTTTAGACAGAGTGATGCTTGTCAGGATTTGATTTGAAGGATTTGAAGACTTTGATTTAATGTTTCAGAATTAGATGCTTTAATAAGTTGGAAAAAAAAATATTATAACCATATGTACCGTTTAACCAATGAAATTATTTCTCTCTCACACATTCACACACCTACACACATATAAATGCACTCAAACTACCTTTTGGCAAAGGAAGATGCTGTTCATTGTGGATTTTTTGCTTTGTCGTGGGCCAATAAATTTTACGACATATTGCGAGATATATTGCATATTACATTAGTGCCTAGCGACTACCACCTGTTCCTGCACTTGAAGAAGCATCACGCTAGAATGAGAAAAAAAAAAAAAAAAAAAAAAAACCTGTTGCAATAGGTGCCAAATTGAGAGGAAGATTTCTATAGAGAAGGGATTCAAAAAACTGGTTGCACGATATGATAAGTGCCTTAATATTAGTGGAAATTATGTGGAAAAATACACCGAGACAAATTCTCTCATATAAAAATTAAATTGGCAGAAAATTCCACTTGTTTCTTTTTTATTTCCAGATGGTACTTATTTTAAAAATATGCCTTGTATATTCCAACATAAGTATTCATGATAGAAATGTCAATAACATATAATTACAGATTTTAATTTTAATAACAGAATATGTTAAGTTTAATCTTATGTAAAATATCTTAAAAATAAATTATGAACTTAGTCTTATAAATATCAATTTACAAATTAAATCAATAAAAACAGATGCATTATAAACATTTTAACCAAAATTAATTATGCCTCCATGTAAAAACTTTTTCCAGAAACTAATAAACCAAACTTCGCATATAATTTTAATTCTATTAATTATAATACTGATTAATATAATGGTGATTTAAATATGCAGGTGATATGTTTTTATTAGACTGAAACAATGCACTTTCATCTTTTGGTATTAAATTTATGAACTAAATATTGGCATTTTTAATGGAATTATGACTTTTCTATTAAAAGCACTTTTTACAGCTGCCTTTAATCAACCTTTTAATTATTTATAAGTTATAATGAATGATTTTCTGACAACTTACGGAAAACTTCAATTTAATAAAAAAGTATGTAAAAAATACACTACATTTTTAATCATATTACTTTAAATATTTGACAATTTTTAATAAAAATTTATCTTTTTATTAATTATTAGTATTATTACTATTATTTTTAAGCCTAAGACATCCTACTAATAAAAGTTTGAAAGGATAAGCTCTTGCCTGGGCAAAATATAAATGATAATCATAAAAAAAGTGAAAAAATAGCATTAACTATTTTTATAAGAGCAAAAGTTATGAAAATACAAGTATATTGACGGTCTCAAAAATAACACTAACAGCAATGACAGGATTTTTTAAATACACTAACTTTCAGCTGCATATTTTATTCAAGTGCAGAACCAGAATATGTATTTCTTAAACTAATTGTTCTTTACAAACTAGAAAATCTATATGTATTAAAAAGCTTTACTTTAATATTGGTGTACTTGCAGATAGCTTGTAAATGTTTCTTAATTTGAATAGCTAGCTCTCTTGTTGGAGTTAGCACTAAACAATGCAAAGCATGGGACTCAGAATCAGCTTCACACTAGAAATTAGAAAAAAATTCTAAATAAAAATATCGCCATATGATATCTGAATCAGAGTAATACACAGAAAATACTATACTTGCATTTTTTGCATTTTCTTTAAAAGATAAAATACCACTCACAACAGGTATACCAAAAGCCAGCGTTTTGCCACTTCCCTAAAACATGTTAGGTTAAATTATTAATAAAAAAATCAAATATATACAGATACCTAAAAACTAAAAAAATAGATTCTTATTAAAAAATAATGGCTTTTCCTACAGTATTCAAAATTATTTAATACAGTCAAAACCTGTTAAAATTAACTTCAAGGGTTGAGTTTGGTTCATTACATGTTATCTGATAAGAAAAATGGATTATTTGACAAAAACAAATAAAAAGTGAATAATAAATAAAATAAAAAATGTAATAATACTAAAAAATATTCCATCTAACAAAAGAAGTGAATAATTTAAAAAAACATACACAGTTTAAATATAAGTATTATTATAATACACTGTTATGATATTTGTTGGTTATTCCTTTTTAGTTTCACTATTTGTTAATAATTTTACATAAGAAATTACTTATCACTATAACAGTTCTGATCCTTTCCTCAAATTACACATTAATTATTTTATGTGTAAATAATTAATAAATAATTACTTTATCTGTAAAAGTACAAAAACACTAAAGTGTATACGAGCCAGTTTTCATTAGAAAGTCCTCCACGAAGGCATCCTCCCCTTAGGCAGATAGCCCTCGAGGCTTTGCCATAATCACACACACACACACACAAAAAAAAAAGAACACTAAAAATAAATAATGAAAAATATTGACAAATTTTCTTTAACTTTTATTTCACTTATGAGTACAAAAATTTCTGCTGGTGTGATTCAGATTGCAGGAAATGTTATCCATATTTTTACCTAAAAAAAAAAATCGGTTTTATAAAATGTGTGACTAATTAATTCCTTCCACTTAATTATTACCTTCCACTGAGTATTTGCTTTCCATGTGATATGTTTCTGCAATATTTTCATCAGCATCAGAAGAATTTTGACATCAAAATTTCTAATTTTAATTTTGCCATAATATTTTCATTACTAGGATCTTCATAATCTACAATCATGCGATGATAATGCAATGATCATGTGATGAGAATGCCAATCGAAAAAATGCCGTAGCACATTCTGAAAATATTGAAATGCACCCCCCTAATACTTAGATGATAGGCAAATCCTCACTTTTATTTCTTTTTTCAGTATCTTTTGTTAGTCCACCAGCATACAAAAAACAATTTCAAATGGTTGGTTCCGTAACAAGTTGCCAAAAATTTTCTAGTGCTGGCATTCCACAAAGTTGTGTAATAATCGACATAATTAAAATAAAATAAAAATATAAACTTTTCTAAAAATGTTTAAAATGAATTACTTCCCCTAATACTTTATGCTCCTTATCACACCTTGATCCACAGGTTCCAGTAATGAAAATGCATTCTAACGCAAGAAATTATTTATAATCCATTCTAAATTTCCATCATCTGTAAGTTGTTAATCAAGAGTAGAATATCTGATGCTTTCCGGTCAAAAGTTTTTTTAATTCCACTTTTGTAATTCTTCTTCAAGCAATTTTGATGTCATCCATGCCTTATAATTAGCTTTACAGAAAACAAGAAAGGTTTTTCAATTTTTTTAAGCACCTTCACTTTTGAAATTTTCTGGTCACCAAAAGCAAATGATACTCAATGCAATTCATAAAAGAATACATATGAACTGAGATTCACACTTTAGAACATCTTTTACTACTGCATCTTTGGTCTTTAAATATTAATGTTTGGTTTGACATTACTTAACAGAATTGATTAGGTTTACTAATGTTGAAAATATTTTTTTCTTATCAACCTTTAAATACTTTTCCCCAATTTCTCAACATCTATTCTGAATCACTATTTATTCCTCTAAAAATTTTTCTTGAAAAAATGTTGTTCCACTTCTTAAACCTATCGAACAAGACATTTAAGTACAAAAAGATAGTCTTTTCAAAGTTTCTGAGAAGTTTATAGAAGGCCTCTGTTTGAAATATTTGTTTAGATATTGGCAGATTATGGCTTCTTTAAATGGCGAAATATTTCAATCATTTTTCTTTATGCTCATTTCTCAACTTTTCTCAAATCCAACTTTTTTCCCATGAGCAAAATTTATTGGATCATGAGCAGAATTTATTGGATCATTAATATTATGGAATATGAATTCTAACATCCTAAATATGGACGATTTTTAGAAATAGAAATATTTCATTAAAAAAATATGAAAAATACAAGAAAAGTATCAAAGAAGATATTCACACAAACTATATCTGATTTTAATATCTCTGGGGGTTCACCACTCCAGTATAGAACAGAGTTTCTTAAACTGTGGCTCGTGACTCCAATTGGGGTTGTGGGACCTGCAGCATGGGGTAGCCAAAAATTTTAGCAATTTTGATATATCTTTAACTTATAATACTTTTACAATTATCAAATATTTTTACACAATGCATCTAAAAATAGATAAAGATAGGCAATACAGACAAAGAAAAAAAAAAATTTGGATGTATTTTTTAATAATAGAAACGTTTATTTTACTTGCTCTGCATGTGATGCTGTCAGTTCCTCAAAAGCCATGCTTATGAAAGATCAGAGTGTTTTGGCAACTTGTGCATTGGGTTGTCTTTGACTTCAGTATTGCATTCAGCCGTCTTGCCAGTGTCAGAATGTCAGCTGTTCTATGCGGATTGTTTTCACATGTTTGAGTGTCCCTTCACTTAGAATATATATATGGTGCTACTGTACCAATAAAACAAGTATTCTGTCGCTTTTGCCATCGTTGTTTCATCAGCAAGTACATAACTTATTTTTATTACACTTTACTACATACACAGACAAGTTACAGTTATTATCTATTTTAAACAAGTCCCCCCTTGTTTTCTCAATAATTATTATTATTGAATATTTTTACAAATCGTGGTTAAGTGGTTGAATTTAGGTAAACGAAATAAAAAATTTAAAAAAAAAAAAATACTGAAAACAATGAAAAGTCATCTCCTGTATCTTGCATGGGTGCACTTAAATACCAAGAAAATGAAAATATGATGAATCCAATTTGGAATTTGCTTTTAAGTCTTGTAATTATGATGCAATTGAATGCTGAATTTGTGAAGTTTTGGCTACAGAAAGCATGAAATCTGCCATATTAAAGCAACATCTAAATACAAAGTATACTGCACACTGCAAAAAAACTAAAGAATATTTTGAATGACTTTTGAAATCATCAAATCAGCAAAAATGTGGCTTTGAGAACTTTGTTACTGTGAATGAAAAGCATTTACTTACTTTGTCTTATGAAGCATCCTACTTAATTGCGAAAAATAAAAAGGCCTATTTAATTGGAGATAATCTAATATTACCAGCTACAGTTTAGATGTCCAAAACAGTTCATGGCAAAAAAATCTGTAAAACTCCATTATCCAACTGTGATGACCACGCATGCGCAGTTTAGCTGAACGGCATGCAACTTCTCTCTCTCATGTTACTTATGGTAGAAGAGAAGAGACGAACAAAGTGACAAAAGTAGTAACAAAAGCAACCCGCTGTATGCCAGCGTAATGATAAACATGGTTCTATTTCTATTTTTGTGTTAATTATTTGTTTTGTTTGTGTGTTAATAAAGTGTGCGCCGTTAAATGTCTGCCATATGTAATGCCCACATTATGTTCATGTCTACATTAAGCTGGAAATATATATATATCCAGAAGCAATGCAGAAGAATATATGATACCAGCAAAACTGTTTCAAAATGAATTTCAGAAATTAATAAAGATCTATATACGCAGCTATAACTAGACTCAAAATGAGTCCTAAGTTTGCAATCCAGTTGGATGAATCAACTGATATTACCAACTTGGCTCAATTTTAAGTACAGCAGAAGTCCAGAAATCTACAATGCTTGGGACCAGAGGTTGTGTGGATTTTAGGATTTCAGGACAGAAAAGCTAAATCATAATATTCAGACTCAAAGTGCAAAATAAATAAGACATATTAGATACATTTAATTAAATTATTATATGCATTATTACAATAATATACATATACATTATTACATTAATTTATTATATGCATTAAATTATTATCATTATTATAATATATATATATACCTCTTATATTATTCATTTATATTAGTGATAACAAGGATATTTAAAAGTACTAAGGACATAAAAATAATGGATTTTAATAAAGCATAAAATATTTCATTTTTTTACATGTTTCAAACATTTTTTATGCTAGAGGTTTGTTTTAAAACTTTAAAGTGCTCCAGAGTAAGTTTTTTTTTTTGGCAAATTATAGAGTCATAATTTCTTGCTCTGTGACACAGCTCTGTTGTTTAAAAAATTTTAGGTATTTTTCAGCATGTTCCGAACCCTCATTAAAAGATATTTTTTCACTTCTATCAAATTCACAATCTGCGGTGTCAGAATAGTTTCCTTGCCATGACGAGTTCAAAACAGAGCCAATGATTTCATCATCAGTCATCTGATATACCAGTGTTGGCTCATCTGAAACATCACAGATTCAACGATACCTTCTTGAAAAGCCTCCTCATTTATTCTTTTTTTCGAATATAAAAGCAATTCTCTTGCTTTAACCCTTGCTTGGTTGACCTGACACTCAAATCAGATAATTCACTGTCATCACTCTCAATTTCAATAAACAGAGAAGATGGACATACATTACACCAGACATTTACTAATGTTGTTTGGAAAACAGAATTCCATGATATTGCTAACAAATAAATGCAGTCTTTGATGGTGAATTTTTTTTACAATCACAAGGTGAAATAGAATAGTCACTTAAAAGAACTTTTATTCAGAAGCTCTGATTTATTTCTTACCTTGATACAGATTGGAGGGGGAAAATTTTTTACCAAGATGTCAATAACTTGGTTTTTCTTGCGCTGGTATTTTCGTTATGAGTCATGATTATTCGGTAAGTATTTTTTCTTTATTTTAGATATTTTGTTCTCCATGTTGCAGTTTCCAGAACATATAAATTGAATGTTTATATTTTGAGAGGCAACACGGATTTCAGGAATTAGCGGATTTTCGGTGTTTGACTGTATACGCTAGATATATTTATTACAGA